ATATTCAAACCAGTTTCCCAAGACTCATGTTTTGAGGAGGGGGTCTTAGAACTATCCTGTTGCTACCTCTGTTTTGCTAAGCTCTTTGATGCTCTTATTCCACTCTTCCAACTGTGGGTCAGATTCCAGCGTTACACACGGGGAACGATGCACACCACGTGCCACAAAGAGTTTGCAGCCCACATGTTGCTACCCCAGGCTTTCCAAAAACCTCCTTCAATCCACTCAGTAACATCCCTGATCGTGGCACTGAGACCCTCCCGACCTGAGACACGCCAAGCTCTGCTGTGGCACTGCCACCCTGCCCGGAGCCAAGAGCAGGCACTGCACACGCACCAGAGTTCACAAAGTGGATAAACACGGAGCTGTGGAGTGACTGTGGCCCAACTCTCACTTCAGGGGCTCATTTGATTGTGCTTCTGGCAAGGTACTTCAGCCTGAGGCACAGGGAAGGGACCTGCAGCTTCGTACCCTGCTGCTGCTCTAATCCCCGTGCCCCAGGAGGGGAAGCGTGGCAGGGAAAGCAGGAGGGAAGGGGGGAGACAGTGCCTGTGATGGCACACAAAGAAAAGCAGATCACAGGGAACTGCCTGAATCAGAAATCACAGAAGTTATTTTGTATTCATCTACCCGAGAGAGAATTTTATATCTAGCCTATACAATATGCTAAACGCTTATCAAAGAACATTTAGAGAGAGGAAGATCTCTGCATTTCCTAAAAGACCGCTTTTCGTTTATTATGTTTAAAGAAAAACAAACAAACATATGAGGATAGGATGATGGAAAATTAGAAAAGATAGCCTGGGGGATGAGAGGTAAAGGCTCTGAACAACTTAGTAGCAGCGCTTGCTGGTTTTATGCACAGCTGAAGCCAATCCCTTGAAAAGGAGAGTTTTGACTCTTAAGTGGCCAGCACCTCTTGCAACATATTTCCTAATCAGCCAGTATTTATGGTCGATATTTTATATTTCCAATTTCCCCCTAAGGGCTCGTGAGAAAGCAGCACACCTGCCAACCTTTTCAGCTGGGCCAATAATTGCCAATTTGCTCTTTGCCTTAGTATATCACTCAATTTAGCCCTGGCTGTGCCCTGCATACATCCTCATTCATCTCTGTGCCCCCATGACAATTAGAGTGTTAGCTTCAGCTAACTAGGGCAACTATTCTACTAGGGTTGGAAGACAATTATTAGTCTATTTTCCCATCTTGTGGCAACAAAATTGAGAATCCATGACAATTACATTCAGCAATTCTGCACTCTGCCGCCTGTTCCCCCTCCTTGCCCCCACCTTCCGAATATTTCAAATTATCACAGCTCTACTACCACATTCAAATTTTCCATGTTCACAGGGAGTGAGGCTTCTATTTAAATGATAATGAGGGACGATCCATTCAATTTAGTGAGGGAGAAAATCCATTAAAAAGCAGGCAGTTCTTAAGCTGATGGGTCAAGAAAAAGATAAAAACCTTTTTTTCAAGCCATTATACAAGGCTCTGTGTGGATTTTTGGACTGTTCAGGACATCAGAAAAGATTAGGACAATTATGGGACATGGGGAAAACCCAAAACAAAATGCCCAAGCCTTCCACTTTTACTTGGGTCAACACAACAAAATAGCAATATGGCTTATCCAGCTCTTAATTCTCTGGCAACTTCCAATTACCTCACTATGAAAGACAGCAGAGGAAAACCCCATTTTGGAAGAAGGCTGTTGACTCTGTGTTGGTTGAGAGTACATGTGTAAAAGGGATGTCAGCTTTATAGTAGTTTTTAAGGGAATTTTATATCAACACTGGGAACATAAACAAGTGGCAGGTTCCCGTCCCCTCTCCACACCATAAAACCTGAGCTAAAACTTCACTGTTTTCCTGCTCTGAAGTTTCATCATCCCAAAGAAGAGCCCAGCCTCAACAAATCAAACCTCTGCAGCCAGAGATGATTTCACTAGATCATAATAAGCGCTTTTTTCCCCCAATGACCCATAATAAATGGCACTCAGTGTAATGTCTGGAAAGACTTACTACATGAGCCAGACAATTACTGTCTTAGTATGAAATTGTATCATTCTCTCCCCACAGAAGTTTCACTTGTGGCAAAGGAGCAGCAGGATGCTCTGGGGTTTGTGGTGGACAGACTGAGGGCTGTTTGTGTGTGCACAACAGAACCAATCCTCTGCTTCAGTTTTCTTTGGAGTGCAATTATTTCACGACAGACCAGGCCACCTCTTGACTTCACGGTCCATTAGAGACTAATGACATGCACTAATGTAAATAAAGAACAACTTGCTGGCATCCCACTGAACGAGTCACCTGAGGAACAAACAGCAGAGGGGAGCTGAGCTGCTCGGGATGGAGCCTTTGGAACGGGGAAGGACAGTGGAGCCGGAGGGAGGACTCCCACACTCCTGAGGTGGCAACGCTGAATGCTGTAGGTGACACTTGCACACACACACATTCCCACCACACCTGCTGTGTGCTACCACCCAGCAGCCAAACCTGCCACCTCCTGCCTCATTTACCCCTTTGTTCACCCAAGTTAATGGGGAAAGAGACGGGAGAGAAAGGCAGCATAAAAAACCAGGCCAAATGCACCAAGGAACAGCAGGAGAGTGAGAAACAGCCCAGGTGCCTCCTGCTGCAGAGCATCCATCTGCAGGGACACTGCCATGTGCTGGAGCCCCGTTTGGAACCACTAACCACAAGGAAACACTGTCCCTGTCTCCCCTTTTTGTCTTCACTGCCCTGTGGCTTTCTGATCCTCAGTGCCACATGTAAGGAGTTGTGCCAGTCCAGTGGCACCCCAGCTATATAAACAGCGTGCTGGGACTTACAGCTCCAGGGCCAACAGGGACCAGGCACGGCTGGACAGAAATCCTGCAGGAATCGGCACTCAGGACAACGTCATCATCTTCTCTGCCTTCCCCTGCTCCCTCTCTACAAGACAACAAGTCTGCTGCCTTATCCCTTTGCACAGAAATGGGGAAAACCATCTGATTGCACCCGTGGGACCTTCTAAGGCTTTCAGACAGTCGCTAAACAGGCTACAGAACATGTACCAGTACGCAAGGCAGCTTTATACGTAATTAAAGCTAAATTGCACTCATTGAATAATGAACGAAGAGCATTCTGTGATTCGTGAACCTTACTTTTCAAACTGTTTAATTACTAATTTGAAAAATCCTCATTTGCAATGGGTCACCAGGTCAGGAGAGCAGCTTCAGTGAAGCCCTGAAGTGTGCCCCCGGCCTCCAGGCACTGCCCAACTGTCCCCGCTGACTAAAAAAGAACAGAGTGCCTATTCCCCCCTGGACTGCACTGGCTGCTGAACAGGCTTTGAAGATTTTGTAGGAATTAAGCCCTCAGACTCAATTCCTACAGGCCCAGCCTCCAACTTTGGGGGGCAAAGGGAAAGGAGGAGAAAAAAACAGGAGTGCATTGGCTTAACAAGGGAAGTCTCCAAGACCACTTAACGCTTTGACCTGTGCTAATCGCCACGTGGGAACGTGTCATTCCTTCCCTGTGGCCCCATGTCACAGCACAGCCACACTGCCAGGAGCCCCTGCTCACACACCCACTGGTCACAGCACAGCCACGCTGCCAGGAGCCCCTGCTCACACACCCACTGGGAGCACCCAGGGGAGGGAAGGAGAGAATCACACCACTGTATGCAGATATAAAATGACGATCATTATGGACCCACAGCCCGGCCAGAGACGCCCCGCAGGCAGAGGGGGTTTGTCCCCGGGTCCCCCCCGGCTGCCATGCCCCCACCCCGGCGCGTGGGTTCCCAGTCCTGGAAGCCGATCACAGGACATGTTATTTTTCTCTTCCTCCCACCGTGTCGGCTGTTTACAGCGCCCCATTCACACTCCAAACATGTAGAGAGAATTTTCCCCCATCACATTTCCCTGTCAGAGCTGTCAAGCCGAATCCCGCTTTAATCTGCCAAAAGCACTTTTCTGCTGACATTTTTAATAAATACTTTCAGCTTTTAAACACATTTGTGGGAGCCATTTTTTCCCCTTTTTCTCCCTTTTCCTCCCGTAGAATGGGCTCTGAAAGCCTTAATAGCAAATACATTACACTTATCAAAGGCTTTCCCCCTCTCCCCTTTGCATCCTGAAGCGGAGGTAGTGTTTTCAATTTTAAAGCTAAATTAACTGTCCAATTGAATTTAGCTGGTGTGAGCCGTTTTCTGTGACAGGTTTTAGTTATGAAGCATATTTTACATTAATAGAACTCAACATGAAAACCACTCGCTCTGGGATTTCTGTGGCTTGCCATTGAAATGGCAAATTTAATATTTCAGACATGCTCGTGCCAGCGTTTGATTATTGTTCTTCATTTAAATCTCTCCTAACGGGAAAGGTCCTAATTAGTAAAAAATCATGTTTTAATGAAGGCGAAATGCTAATTGCTAACACAAAAAGCCTTCATATAAAATTATCCCAGCACTGCCATTGATTTCTTGGTGACTCAAAAGCCCATTTGTGTGTTTACACACTAGGGCACCGTTTGCTTTTGTTTTATCATAACATTTCACTCAACGTACCATCGAATTTCCTGAGAGAAAGACAGCTTTCCCCCAAAAAAACCTCTCATATCTCGGAGGCAGGAAGCATAAAATTAGATGAACTGACTTTGCACCCAAACTATGTGATTACGTGCAGCAGCTAAACCCAAAGATACTGCAAAAAGCTTTTTAACACAACTTCTTTAGGAAAACAAAACAAAACATCAAGCCACTCTTCCCCGAGGAATAACAATTCCATTTTGTTTTCCCATCTCTGATCTTTCGCTTATCATATTATTTGCACCATGATTATAGTGTTTGCAAGGCAGCTCAACCACTTATGCCGTAACACTCAATCATGACATAAAAAAAAGTTATTACACAGTGACCTCTGGATGCCAACATTTGTTCAGCAAGATTTATGAAAAGCCATGTCAGCAGCGGGAATTGCTGCAATGAAGCGATGCTTTCTCCTGAATGGTACTTACATCACTGAGACGGTCCCTTGAGCTGCTCCGCTGAGAGCTTGTGGCCTCCCTGATGCTGTCTTCCTCGCTATTTCTGCCACTTCTGCTTGTAGGGACCTTCATCTAGAGGGAGAAGAAGGAGGGGGAAAAAGGAGATTTTCAAGCACTGCTCTGCCACCTGTTCCCGAGGTCGCCGAGAGCAGTTTAGTCAAAGTTTCACTCCTACGCCCACGGCACAGAGGAGAGGATGCCTGTGAATGCACGGGGCTTCTCTGCAGCTGTGCTTGACCACGTGTGTCCATATTCCTTTCCACTAACATGTGAGGGAAGTGGTGCTTTTGGCACTCCTGGAGGTGGGCAAGGCTGTGCCAAAGTCCTTGGGCTGAGGTGAGAGGGGAGCGGACGAACAAACCCCGTCCCTCTGCTCCCAGCACTCCGTGGCTGTGACACTGGGGTTCCAACTGGTGCCTCTTGCTGCTGGGCCACTGCTGACCCCACAGCCAGGTCACTGCTGACCCCACAGCCGGGTCACTGCTGACCCCACAGCCGGGTCACTGCTCCCCAGCCCACAGATGTGCCCTGGGGCCACCCCAGTGACTGCACCAAGAGGTTGGGACTGGCACAGCAGCCAGCGAGAGACACCAGCCTGAAACAACTTGCTTGGGATACCACACGGAATTCGAACTAATGCAGGATTAACTCTAACAGCCAAGGCTTGTTCTCTAACTGCTACATCATCCTACTTCCTTCACCTGAAGTTGAACTCGTTTTTGGATTGAAGTGAGAGAGGCAATGTTTGAAATCACAGCAACCTCCCGCTTACATCTGCAAAGAGTGTTACAGGGGGAGGAGAGGGGTAGGATAGATGTCATTCACAGCTTCATTCCTGGGCTCATTTACTAACAAATTATTCTGCTAATTCCCTTGTGAAATATTGGGTGGAAAGAAGTGTTTAATTTATTAATAGGTTCTATTCATATCAGTTTGGTTCCATTTAAATTACACTATTTAAAATGTCGGCTTGTACAAATTGGTATGTTTAATGGTAATAAAATCCCTTTGTTTCTTTCTGTCCCATTTCCTGGCAGTGTCAGTGGCCAGCAGGGCTTGCTCGTGGTGCTGGTATAACCCCCCCAGCCCTGCCCCTGTGGCACAAGGCACCAGGCTGGCTGGGCACACTGCCACAACACGGGCACTGCAACCTGAGCCCCGGGAGCACACTGATCCCTGCACTGCCATGGATGTTCAGCAGCACTGCCAGCCAAGTGCCCCACAGCCTCTTCATATTTGAATACAATGTTCAGGGCACTATATGGAGAGTGAACTTCACTACTCATCCAGAGTACACAGCCCTGTATAGGCTTGGGCAGCAGAAGACAGGGAAAGTACTGTGCTCATGTCCAAGCAACAGCAAATTGCTGATTGAAGTCCTTACTCTGCATGCCTTTCTGCCACTTTACACCTCACCAATTCACTTTCCTCCACAGGATAAGACTTTTAGACTCAGATACATCAAAGCCCTAGAAGCAAACATTTGCTCATGGTCACCCCACCACACAACCACCACTCCCAGCACAGTGCCCAGTTCGCTGCCCAGCTGCAAACTTTTATCAAGACCACTATTTCATCTTTGCTCCTACATCAAAATGTTCCAACAGCACAGCAATGAGAGCTGAACCCTCCCGCGAGCTGCTGGAAGTGTTTCCAGTCAGCACTGAGTCTCCATTTGCAACCACCAGCACCACACGTTTCTCTGCAGGAAATAACCCACTCGAAATGCACCGTGTTCAGTCCGTGCTGCCTGTTTCCTTAATAAATAGGTCAACAACGTCAAACACAGAAATCTAACCAGGCTACATCAATATTGGCCATTATCCATCAAATTTTTAATTCCACATATAATTAAGGAAATTTGGTGAGATTTTTTTTTCCCCTAAGTATAAAATTATTGTCATTCACTTACTTTATTCTTTTTTAGGTCTTTATTAACCAATTATTACTTCAGCTACCCCATTATCTCGCCTAGGATTGACGCCAAGCCAATAAGACAAGTGGTAATATCCCCTTAATTACAGCCTTTCAAAAACACTGGCACACCAGCTTTCTTCTGTCATCTGGGTCTTCCTACACTTCATCAAAACCCAACTCCACTGGTTCCCAGCCATCAGCCAGCTCTTCTGAAACTCTTGGCTGTAAAGGATCTGACCTGCCAATCTCAATGCTTCCAGGCAGCAGGTGCTTAGTTTCTGCCTCAAACAGGAACCACTTAACCATTACAGAACAGAATTACAATTTCCCTAATACAGTGCAGAAATCCTATTGAATTCTGTGGCTTTCTGATTTCTGATCCATAACCTTAACCCTCCCACCTAGGAACACATCAAAGCCTGTCAAGATTATTACACTTCTGACCTAAACAACTCCTAGACGGTTGCAAATTAAAGGAAAAATAAATTACACCATTCCAAATCCTTTCACCTTCCCGAGCGCAAATGGTCACCAGAATTAATTCAAAAGGACTAAACTGCCAGCTGTTTAAAGTTAGCAAAGACTCACCCAACCTGTTACCAGACTCGAACCTTTTGCTGTTTTTCTTGAGTTACAGTCAGCTCCAAACACCACCTGTTTCTTTTCTCCAAATTTCATTAAAGGAAAACTACACCTACACCCACAGTAACAAATTGAGACAATTTGACCTGACAAGGTCTTGCACGGGCAAGCAAATTAGAAGCATCACTGCTGCCATTAACCTTTCCAAGTAAATATCAATTATTAAACTTGCTGCACTACCTCTGTCCCCAGTTTGCTGCTGTGAATTAAGAGGGTCATCAGCCTTTTTGACAGATCTTGTTCATTTACACCTGCTGCCTGCCAGCAGGGGAGCCCGCACACCCGCAGCCCCAGCACTCAGCCAAGCTGCCTTAATTCATCAGTAATTACCCTAATGAGCCGCATGCAGGACCCAACGAGGAGGACAAGTTGTTCTGCTAAATGGATGCATTGGTTTCAGGGGCACTCTCAGCAGACCCGGGTATGAGCGAACTGGACAAAAGCTTCTTTCCCAAAGCTGCCACTGACTCTGCTGCTTGATTTCTAGTGATTTTCTGTGGGTGTTCTTGCTTGAGTTCCAGAAATTCTTCCTAACCACGTTCCCTGATTGAGTTTTACTACAAAAACTAGTATTCCTCTCCCTTGGAAAAGGTCATTAGTGTTTCAGAGACTGCAGTGGCTCTGTGAGCCAGGGGCGAGGTGGGTTCCCAGCCCTGCTCCCAGCCCAGGGATGCCACAGCTGCCTCAGCACAACCAACTCCCCAAGTTCATACACAAAACATAATCCTCTCCTAGCACACACTCACAGAGACAGAGACACAGGCATTACTGCAACACCCACCCCCAGGGTTAAACACCTCAGGCAGAGGAGCCAAATATCCTATGGAAACACAGGGCCACCTGGGAGAAGCTGCCTTCCCAACCTGGACAATGTCTCAAAATAGTCCAATGCCCAAAGCTCAGCAAAGAGGGGCTTGGAAAGGTGCTCTTTAGACTTGTGTCCTGAGGGCTGGGGGTGGGAGGGGATCTGTTTGTAAATCCAGGCAGACTTCTGAGTCACTTCAGGAAAGCTAAGCTGGAACAAAATAAAAAAGGCACAAGGAGACAATTACTGATAATTTATCTCTTCCAAAGGCCAAATCCTGTCTTCATCCAAACACTAAGGCAGCAAGACATTCATGTCCATATATATGCATTGAAACATTGAATAGGTGCTGAAGTTTTACTCAAGCAGAGCCTATTTCATCACTGAAGTTAAGGGAATTCTCCAAGAGCATTAATTAAACCCAAGGCTGCTTAAAAACCAGACCAATGCAGTCTCCCACAAGATAAATAACACCCCTGACCCACCACACACTGCAGAAGAAAGCTGGCAGCAGGCAATCCTGGCTCTCTGCAACAGCTACAATCCAGCTTTTACCAGGAATGACAGATCTTTGTTTGAGAAAGTGGAAGAGAGTTTCCAGCTCCGTGGGAGCGGGCCAGCACTGCAGACAGGGCTGGCTCAGTGGGGAAGGACTGGGGGCAAGGCACAGAGGGTTTGTAAGGCCAGGATCAATCTGAATGCTGCAGGTGCTCATGGACAGTCCCACGCCACGTTCAGAGCCAAGAATTATGAACCTTGCGCTGTTGGACATCATGTAGCATGATTAAATATCATAACTCATCCTGGTAATAACTCCAGCTCTCATTAAAGACCAGTTCTGCTATCCTGGAATGCTGCTGCCTTTCCATCTCTCCCATCCAACTTCCCCCTCCCCATTTTTGCCCGTGGAGCAGGGGTGGAGGGAATATGTGAATGGGCAGAATGGATCTTGCTTCCCCCTAAAAGGGCTTTTTCATTACCTCTACGCTGGCTCTCAGCCCCTGCTTTTTAATCATAATAGATCAGCCTGCTCTCCATTTACTTAAGCTCTTCCCATGTCAGAGGAAGGCACGTTTTTATTCGCCGCACCTATTTTCCCATCGCGGGCACGCCGCCCCTGCTCATTATTAATAAATACACTTCGATTTATCACAAGCTCCATTTGAGTGCCACGGGGAGCCCGGGGCAAGAGGAGACAAATTCTTTTCTTAAGTTGTTCTGAAAGGTGCTGGGCTGCCCGACCCTCACCCCCATTAACCCAGCACAGCTCGCGCGCTCCTACTGGGAGCTCCACGCCTTGCGCGGCGGCAAACTCGGACTGATCTTGTGCCATCTCAATATATTTGTTCATTATCTTGCGCACACACAGAAGCATTTGGAAATGTACTCGGGGCACAGGCCAAATTGAATCATCTGCCTTCATTTTCCACACGATCTGAAGCTACAGCTGCTACAACAGGCTGTGGGATTTTTATTTTCCTTCCTTAACAGGGTTGGTTTTTTTTTTTTCCCTCGCTCTTAAAGTCGCAGCGGTCTCATTTTAAACCCCTTGCTGTTGGCTTGGGTTTGTGTCTGTTTTATACAAAGCGGGTCTTGCATACGCACGGGGTGGGAAAAGAAATTCCCAGCAACCTCCCTCTGTGCTGTTCTGAAGGAAAGACAGAAAGCAGCAGCCTCAGGGAGAGACATAATTGAAATATTCATCTCT